CATTAGACTAATGGGAGTGGGGGTCGCTAAGACCCTCGCTATCCTTGCTAGCACAAGGCAAACACCACCCCCAAGCATGTGCTAAGGGAAGTGTCAAGCAAAAGTCGTCAAATGTTTAGCGTGAGGAGAGAGAAGGAGCATCAGAAAAATGAAAATTGGTTCATTCTTTTTTATTTGTTATTTTTTTTCTAAGAACAAATGGTTCTCATTGGTTCTTCTTCATTTGTTTTTTTTTTTTTTCTTTTTTTTATAATCTAAATGTTTGTGTTTTTGAAGAAAAGCTTAGGTGGCAAATAAAATATATGATGTGGCATGCTTTAGCATGGTGCTAGAAGTATCACCACTCCTCTTAACCTTATTTACGTCGTTAGTCGGTCGACGGTTGGAGATTTCAAGATGCAACGAACGTGATATCTGATTTTTCTTTGGCAGTATAAATCGAAATTGACATCTCTTAGGCTTCACAGAGTGGTTCGACAAGAAACTTGGTAAAAGTGGCGTGGATTCAATGCACACCACACCACGACCTCAGTAGAGGTTATTCGGAAACATAACTCGTCATATATATCTACCGATAAGAAAAAAAGAAAAAAGTTTTCAATTGGAATGTCGTCATATATATCTACCGATAAGAAAGAAAAAAGTTTTCAATTGGAATTTTACATGAAAGGTTCCTATCCATTCTCTTTTGCTTCACTTTCTACCCTAAACTCAAATTGGAAATACTATATTTACCCTTTAACTTTATAAAAATTATCATTTTGACTTATTCCCTTTCATATTTAATACTCTTTATTAATTCAATATATAAGTTAATTGTTATTAATATTCTTTTTTGTGTCCTCATTTTAAATTATATGATGTTTTTTCTTGTTGTAGTTTTATTTTTCTAAGTGTTTTTTTTTTTTTTTTTTTGTATTTTTTGTTGAATTTTAATGAAATTGTAGTTTTACATTAAGTTGGTTAAATTTATTATTATTAATATAAATTAATTTAAAAAAAAAAGGCAAGTATGGCAACCCACGCGATGTGACGTGATGTTGATGTGGACCATGACGAGTGTGACATTACACCAACCAACCTTATCGCCATTTCCGTAATAATTTATAATTTGTTATGCTGTAATCTTCATTTAAGCTTTAGTCTGTCACTCAGAGAGTTACACTATCAATTCTATTCTCCCTTCTCATGGTTTTTGTCTCCGAGTTGTTATAATGAGATTTTAGAGTTAAGTTAGAGGTTATCTTCCTATCCTGCGTTATTGTGGGATTGAGCAAAACTAAGTTCAAATTTATTTTCCAGCTTTGTCTCTGAGTTATTGTGGGATTGAGCAAAACTAAGTTCAAATTTGTTTTCCAGCTTTTAGAGACAATGATTACTTTTTGTAGCAAAAAAACATTTGAATACATTAGCTTGGCTGTAGCACATAAAGCTAACTTTATATTTGTTTAGTTGCAGTTATAGTTTGAGTTTTCAATTGTTTAACTTTACTATGCTCTTCTTTTGACTTTGTCGTAGAACACTAGTATGTTTAGTTATTTTCAAGGTTTTAACTTTGATTGCTTAACATTAATTTATAATTGTTTAGTGCTTAATCTGTTTTAAAGATTTATATTATAATTGTTTAGTTATTTTGAGAATTGTTCTTCTAGACTTCAAGGAAGTACATAGATGATTTGAAGCTCTATACAAACCAATAATACTTGCTCAGTGTGTGGGATTATACTTAGGGATGAGCATACGATCCGTTGAATCGGACCGGACCGGACTGGAAAAAAACCGGGACCGGACCGGATATTCTTATTAGTGGGCCGGTTTTCGAGTTTTGTTTTTACCACTAACTAGGTTTCGGGTTTGAACCGAACCGTACCTTGAATACAAAATTCAACCCAGATCAGATTGGAAAACATTTTCACCTTAATTTCGTTTATAGATATCAGCATAACTTGAAAATATATAGATAATTATATTGAATTATTAATTAATATTAAGAAACTTTTATTGAATTGTTAATTTATTTTAGGGAAAACCTTATTAAAACCCACCATATTTTCATCAAAGTCATAAAAAAACCACTATATAAATTTTTTGTACGTTAAAACCCTTACATTTTTTAAAATTTATGTTAAAACCCTTATATTTTTTAAAGTATATCATTTAAAGCATTAAGCTTAGTAAATCCTAGATAATTAAAAATATTATGTAATCGTCACAACGTTTTGATTGTTACAACTCATTAAATTAAAAATTTTCAAAAAAATATAAGGGTTTAAATGCACTACAAAAAATTATATAATTGTTTTTTTAACCATTTCATGAAAATAGATTAAGTTTTTCCAAGTGTACAAAACCTTAAATAAGAATTTCAGAAAATATAAGGGTTTTTGTGCACTAAAAAATAATATTGTGGTTTTTTTAAGCATTTGATGAAAATACATTGGGTTAGTCGGGTTAACCCGATCGGGTTTCGGGTTAAACGAGTCGGGTTAGTTGGGTTTTTCTAGAAAAAATATTCACCCGAAACCCGACCCTAATAAGGTACGGGTTAGTCGGGTTCGGGTTAAACGGGTTTCGGGTTTGTAAGGTTGGGTTAACTGGGTTAGTCGGGTTGAAGTTGAAATGTAAGATGAATTTATATTGTGCCATTTTAATACATAATCCACATGTATAGGGACTTAAAATGTAAAGTTGGCATACGATATGAATTTTTGGAGTTTCTTTTACCATATTAGTAATGTAAACAGTGAATAAAATTCGTAAAACTGTTACAACACAACCTTACTGCACTAAGAAGAGAGGAAAGTTATGTCATTTTATACATCTCTATGCATAGTAATTTTACAATCTGGTTTGTTTAAATAAGAAATATGTATTAGTTGTAAATCTCATGGGATCTTGAATTCATATCATTCAAGACAGTAAAAAAAGTTTTGGTAATAAATTCTTAATCGGGTTATTCGGGTTGACCCGAAACCCGAATTGTTTTGAAAATCAACCCTAAACCCGACCCTAATAATAATTCAGGTTAGTCGGATTAACCCGAATAACCTGATTAAGAGTTCTGACCCTATTAAACCCGATCCTAATTACCTTATTCGGGGTCGGGTTAATCGGGTTCGGGTTTTTTGACACCCCTAATGATAGGTCTCACGAAAATGGATCAATAAGATAATAAAGAAAGTCCGCTAAACACTCATAATTTAATTACCGCAACATTGTTTATGAATTACTCCGTAGTTATTTATTTATTTATTTAATTATTTTTGTGGAATTGGATCATTCCTAAAAGGCTAGAACGACAATTAAAAAAACAAACAAAAAAAAAATCATCGTGCGATCAACAGCTTCCCAAGTTCACATCAGTGTCGATTTTTTTTTCGGGTTTCGCCTCTAGTCTCCAAATCTCCATCGTATTCCATTATTACACAAAAAAATCTATTTTGGTACAATGACACTTTGGTTATTATTATTTTTGTATAATAATATTTTGGTAAATTTGGTTTGCTACTTATTACCTTTGCATTAATCTTCTTTTCTGTATTTTTTAATCGAATTGTACAAAAAAAAAAAAATATGAATGATGGATTTTACATACTAAGATTATAAATTTAAATAATATGCTAGATACTAGAGAGTAATGTGACAAACAAAACCCGAAACCATAAACAACAAAGATACGAAACACACTTTGGTACCTGGAACAAGACCAGACCGAAATTGTAAACAACACTATCAAAATCAAATTCGGTCCAAAACCCAAAACCTGGCTTAGCACCCGGACCCGATACACCCAAAAATGGTCCGGTTTCGGGTAAGGTAATTCATAATTTTCGGTTTTCGGTTTTTGGGTCGGGCCGGTCCGGGTTTGGCCCGTTGCTCATCCCTAAATTTATATTTATCATGAATTCTCCATATGGGTTTATATATTATATTTGAGGTAGGAATCAAAGTTTAAAAGTTGAAAAGTAAAAACTCAGAAGTTTAATGCTAATGTTAGTCACAGTTACAAAGTACATTGCTTTTGTGTGCATTGGTGAAGATGTTTCTCTTGTCCATCGATTCAATCTGTTTTAGGGTCTGAATTGAAGGTTGTGTGTTTGAGTGTTTCCATGAGTTCGATGATTTTCTGACACAAATTTATGGTATAATGAATTTCTGTTTTGAACGATAGCTTGTGATGTAAACAAGAAAGCTTGAATGTGAAATTGTATTTTGATAAAAAAAAAAAAAAAAAAAAAAAAAAAAAAAAGTTGGCACTCACGTTGCAAATAGTAAAAATTAATAACATATATGGTTGTCTTTGTTTAATCTACTTCTTTCCAAGTTTCTTTAAATGATAATTCTTATTGATGAAGGTAATTATTTAAAACTTAATTATTTACAAGGTTGTCAAGATCGACCTAGGATCGTTTTTGGGTTTGCAAGATCGGGATCGAGATCCTAAGATCCCACAAAAGATAATATAATTTTAATTTATAATATTTAATCATGAAAAATATTTCAAACATTTAATTTTTCATTAAAAAATTATAAAAACTTCAAAATATTAGTCATAAATCACAATAAAAAATGAAATGATAAATGATACATTTGTAAAGGATAAAAGACATAAAGTGGTGAAAAAATTTATTTGCAAAAAAAAAAAAAAAAAAAAATTCAAAGGAAGGTAGGATCGGATCTCGATCCTACGATCTTACGATCCTACCTGCGATCATACCCCAAATACGATCCTTTTACGATCCGGATCGTTTTTCATACCTAGGATCGTACGATCCTACGATCAGGATCGCGATTTTGACAACCATGGTTATTTAACTATATAAAAAAAAAAATGCTTCTTCCAATCACACGGTTGAATCTCTCCTGAATTTTATCATAAAAAAAAAATAATAAAATAAAATAAATAAATAAATAAATAAATAATCTTTATCTTTGCTGTCTCATTTTAGTGAAGTGAAGTAACTATTTAATAATAAGCACATCAACACAAAACCACAACATTTAGTACACGATAAAACACCGAAAAAATCATAACAAATCAACATGTAACATAAAATATGTTATAGCTACTTTATGAAGTAGATGAAAAGAAACCGGTGGCAATGAAGCGTGCATAATAGTTACGATAGAATATAGCAATATAGCATATTCTTTCCCTTAAAGGGAAAAATAGTTGTTATTAAATAAGTACACCAACATAACAGTTAAACTTAAAATCCAACCTCCTAAATAACAGAACTACGAAGCTTAAGACAAAAGCTCAACCAGCATTATCATATCATCACTTTATATACTCTTCTTCTAAACCCATAAGAAGCTGCCACCTGTCTGATGCAGCATCGCATCAATCTCATCACCATCTTCCATCTCCAACTGCCATCAAACCCAATTTATTTAACAGTCTTTAAAAGCTTAAATTCACACTATACTTCAATAACATAGCTTTTATGGACATTAAAGCTAGTCTTTCATACTTAAATGATCTTTTTGTTTGTAGAGAAAGGGTGAAAACATGATTGAATTGCCACAAACTACATATGACCATTGTTTCTATGTCTAACTAGTGGTGTGTGTGTGTGTGTGTGTGTGAGAGAGAGAGAGAGAGAGAGAGAGAACCTCATCTGGAGTTTGTTCAGCTCGAAGGCGACGACCATCAAACAAGAAGGCAATAGAGCTGATATCAACAGATTGCCTTTCACAATAAGCGTTCATCAGCTTCTTAAGTTGTGTGCTTCGTTTGATCCTAAAGAACACTTCATTTCCATCCTGTCAAATAATCAAAAGTTGAAAAAACAATCTAAATATGTATCTTTTACAATTAAGGTACAAATATCAAAATATGTATCCATCAAGGCCTAGATCTGAAATAAAGTGTATGACATTGATGATAACTGAAAAAAAATGCTTTAATTGTATATCTGCATAATGTTATGTTCATATTCACACAGTGATTTTCAAAGATATAATATGTACATCTTCGCAAGTAAAAAAAATAGACACTTATGAGAACAGAAAACCGAGTCAAAGGCAAAAAATCCATAAACAAAAACAAAGGGACTGATGCAACGATTATATACAAAACCTAAACAGGAAACGAGACGAATCCCTAAAATACACATTAAGCGAAGAACAATTATCATCTAACACGTGATAGTAACTAAATGATCGATCTTTTTCTGGAATTGAAGAGACAACGAAGGGAGTAAATAATCATATAATGGCACAAAAGTAAAAGATAAACCCTAACCTGTCCTTTGACTTTCAAATTGATATGAGCACCTTGATCTCCAACCGGCTTCTTGTCTTCCTCGTTCGTCACTCCCGACATCTTTTCCGATCGACGAAAGTTCTAACTCGCGAATTCGGCTTCTGACGGTGTTCTGCGGCACTCGTACGCTGATTCTTTGTTCTTGGTTTGGTGATGAAAATGGTATAAAAAAGTTAATGGAAAAGGAATCGACGGTTAGGACGGGTACAGAAAAAACAATGACGATCCGACGATCCAAATTGATGAATGGAAAATTGGGAATCAATAAGTTTTCAAGGGGATGCTAATAACACACCCTTACACATCCTATAATCATTTTTATAAAAAGTCAACCTATAATCAACTTCTTGTAATCATCTTTTTCGGAAAACAATGCAATTTCAACCAATAAAAATATTTCAAACATTAATTATGGTTGTCTAAATGGTAAAATAGGGTGTCTTATTAGTCAACCCCGTTTTCAATCTTACTGACAACTTTTGAGTTATCCAAGGTAAACACCTCTTGATTGAAACAATGACGCAAATACCTTTTTTAAAATCGAAAATGTGAAAACAAAATTTTTTTAAAATAAAAATTATTAAAAGATATTTTTCTGAAAAACATAAAAAAAAAAAAAAACGTTAAATAAAAAAGGTTTTAAAACATTATAAAACAAAATTTCTTAAATAACTAATTTTAAAAAAAATTACAAAACTACATTACGGATTTAAAAATAAATAAAAAAGAAGTTTGGATGTTAAAAGTTGGCCAAATTTTACAAAATAAAGAAAAGTTGGATAAAAGTTGTTTATGAAAATAGTTTTTATTTATAAAAGAAAGGTATAAAAGGAATTAAAAAAAATAGAAAAAAAGAAACTTTATTAAGCTAAGCTTATAAAAAAAACAAATTTTAAAAAATTAAAAAAACAAAGTTTGTTAACTTTTATAAATAAAGTAAAGTTGGATAAGAAAAAGTTTATGAAAATAGTTATTATTTAAAAAAAAATGTCATTTTTTTCTAAAAGTTCAAAATTAGGCAATTTTTATAAATAAAGAGAAGTGGGATAAAATGGTTTATGAAAATACTTATTATTTAAAAAATAGTAAAAGTTTAATAAGAATTTTTAAAAAATGAAAGGAATATGGGCCATGACGAAATTAGAAGTGCTTAAATGTTTTTGGAAATTAAACCAAGCTAATTATGACTACTCTCTACTACAATCATAACCTACTTTATCTTATCTTTTGGATGTCCCAAATGAGATACGTGAGGTTGGGTGTCACAATTTTTCCATGAGTAGGGTAATTGTTTGAAGTATTGTTCAAACATTATATCTATTGCAATTCTCCTATCTACATACACACAGTTGGTGGTGGCTGTAACATCCCCGAATTCATGTATATCTTTTTGATCCTTTTCTTTCCTCAAGTTGTCAAAATTAATCATTGAAAAGAATGTGTGGCTTTTGAGTACGTTGGGCGTAAAGGAGAGTACGTTGCGTGTACTCATGAGTGTGTTCTTGACGCGGAGGCTACCCAGTACATTGGGCGTACCATAGTGTACGCTGGGCGTATTAGGTTCAGATTGAAACCCTAATTGTGGGGGTGAGCCCTATATAAGGGACATTATGGCCTCACTTTAAGCCACCATTTCGAGAGAGCAAAACTCTAAGTGTGCCCTAACCCTCGTTCTAGAGCTTGTGTGTGTGGTTGAGCTTGAAAGTGTTCTTGTGTGCTTTTAAAGAGAAGAAGGTGCTATTGAAGGAGCTAGAGTTTGAGGGTAAGCCTTGGATATGAGCTTTCTAAGGTTGGAGCATCAGTTGGAGGTAAAAACTCAGAGCTTTCTCAACCCTTTTTGTTTTGTGCATTATGGACCATTTCTAGGATTTTTGTCCCAAAGGTGGAGACTTGATGAGTAAAAAAGCTCCGTAGACCTTGATCTGCCCATTTTCAGTGTATATTGTGATATAGATCCATAAAAATCCAATCTTGGATGTTAGGAGTGAGCCATGCGTGAGATATGAGCTCCTTAGGGAAGGAAGTGGTGTGATTAGGATGATGATGACCTTTACAGCCATGCAAAGGCGTAAAGTCATCGACTTTATGGATTAAGAGGCATTAGAGTGACCAGATCTTGGATATGAGCTTGTGTCTTAATTGATTAAGAACAAAATCATGAATATTGTGAAAATTGGGGCGTACGCCAGACGTAATCCCAATACGCGCGGCGTAGGGGCCGAGTGTCAAGGCAAGAACTGTTATCCACTCCCGAGGATCGACGATCTGTTCGATCAATTGCAGGGTTCATCTTGGTTTTCCAAGATCGATTTGAGGTCTGATTATCATCAGATGAGGTTTCGTGAAGAGGATATTCAGAAGACAGCATTTAGAACTCGTTATGGGCATTACGAGTTTGTGGTGATGCCTTTCGGGCTCACCAATGCATCAGTATCGTTCATGGATCTCATGAACCGGGTATGTAGGCCTATGTTGGATCGTTCGTTGATCATGTTCATCGACGATATTTTGGTATATTCGAGGTCTAGAGAGCAGCATGAGGAGCATTTGAGAGAGGTCCTTGGAGTATTGAGATCGAAGAGGCTTTATGCCAAATTATCCAAGTGTGATTTCTGGTTACTAGAGGTCCAGTTCTTGGGGCACCTCGTTAATCAGAATGGTATTTTGGTCGACCCGGCCAAGATTGAGGCGGTTATGAGTTGGGAGGTGCCGAGATCCCCCACCGAGATCAGGAGTTTTCTGGGGTTGGCCGACAACTATCGGAGATTCATTAGAGATTTCTACAAGATCGTCGTTCCTCTCACCAGGTTGACCCGAAAGGGAGTTGCTTTTACTTGGGGTCCCGAGCAGCAGACCTCGTTTGAGACTCTTTGTCAGAGATTGTGCGAAGCTCCAGTGTTAGCTCCTCCTGAGGGGACGGAGGACTTTGTGGTTCACTGCGAATCTGCGATGCATTTATATCGGGGTTAGGTGCAGTGCTTATGCAGAGATGGCACATGATAGCATACACATCGAGGCAGCTGAAGCCTCATGAGACGAGGTATCCCACCCATGATTTAGAGTTGGAGGCAGTGGTGTTCACCCTTAAGATATGGCTCCATTACTTATACGGGGTTCGGTGTACCATATACACAGACCACAAGAGCTTGAAGTATCTGATGGATCAGCCCAACCTGAATATGCGCCAGAGAAGGTGGTTGGATGTAGTGAAAGATTACGACTGTGAGATTTTGTACCACCCGGGCAAGGCTAACGTGGTAGTCGATGCCCTGAGCCGCAAGGCGGAGAGTGCCCCGATTTGGGATATATGCATGAGGATGACAGTGATGACTCCGGTATTGGATACCATTCGAGAGGCCCAGGCGGAGGCCGTGAGACCGGAGAACCGCAAGAAGGAGCGGGTGATCGGTCGGGTATCCGAGTTTGTGACAGATAGACGGGGACATATGACCTTTCGAGGTCAGATTTAGGTGCCTTATATGTGCAAAACTAGTAGCACTCTGATGGAGGAGGTGCATAGGTCGAGATTTTCAATCCATCCCCAGGCCACTAAGATGTATTCAGACCTGAAGAGAGACTATTGGTGGCCCTGTATGAAGAGGGATGTCATGTGGGTAGTAGAGAGGTACTTGACCAGTCGTCAGGTCAAGGCAGAGCACTAGCGTCCACATGGTCCATTGCATCCTGTGGAGATTCCCCAGTGGAAGTGGGAACAGATCTCGATGGACTTTATCACCGAATTACCGAGAACGGCGCATGGAGTTGACACGATCTGGGTGATTGTGGATCGGTTGATGAAGAGTGCTCACTTCCTTGCTATTAGTGAGGGCTCTTCTGCAGAGAAGCTGGTCGAGAATTATGTGAGAGAGGTGGTATCTCGGTATGGAGTGTCGGTCTCAATTGTGTCAGATCGAGACGAGCGTTTTACTTCCCGGTTTTGGAAGAAATTTCATGAGGATTTGGGCATGCGATTGCATTTCACCACCGTGTATCGTCCACATACAGACGGACATAGTGAGCGGACGATTAAGACGTTTGAGGACATGCTTCGAGCATGCGTTATGGATTTCGGTGGGAGTTGGGACACATACCTACCATTGGCTAAGTTTTCCTATAACAACAGCCATCACTTGAGCATCGGTATGCCTCCCTTTGAGCTCCTTTATGGGATGTGGTGTCATACTCCCGTCTATTGGGGAGAGGTGGGGCAGAGAGTTATGGGCGGCACTAAGATAGTGCTGAAGACGACCGAGCAGATTCAGCAGGTCAGACAGAGGTTGCAAACGGCTCAGAGTTGTTACAAAAGTTACGCGGATAGACGTCGATCCAAGCTTGAGTCCAGGTTGGGGATTTCGTTCTCTTGAAGGTATCCCCGTGGAAGGGGGTGATTCGGTCCAGGAAGAGGGGCAAGCTAGGACCCCGATACATTGGTCCTTTCAGAGTGACCGCTAGAGTGGGTAAGGTAACTTGTCGTTTATAGCTACCTGAGGAGTTGAGTCAGATTCATGACACCTTTCATGTGTCACAGTTGAGGAAGTGTGTGGCCGATGAGACGACGGTGGTTCCACTATAGGACATTCAGGTGGATGCGGGCCTGAATTATATTGAGAGACCGATCACGATTGTGGATCGCAAGGTGAAGACTTTGCGGAACAAGGAAATACCCTTGGTCCATGTGACAACCCGGAATTTCCATTATGTACGAACATTATCAAGTCAATAGAAGTTATAACAGTCACAGTAAATTTTCAGACATTTCCGTATAAGTTTGAGTATTTCAAGGTTTACACTTAAGGAGATATCAGGAGAGTGGATGCACTAGGGTTTTGTGAAACTCTGTTATTCTAAAACTCTATTACATTAGATTTCATTTTTGGCATAAATATTTCATTCCCGTAATGAACTCTAATGTAATAGAGTTTTAGAATAACAGAGTTGCACAAAACCCTAGTGCATCTACTCTCCTGATATCTCCTTAAGTGTAAACCCTGAAATACTCAAACTTATTACAGAAATGTCTAAAAATTTACTGTGACTGTTATAACTTCTATTGACTTGATAATCTTTGTATAGAACAAGTCTAAGATTTACAAAGATAGGAAATTAGACCAAAGTTTTTTTAGATAAACTAGGTTATATTCAAAAGATGAGTCGACGAGATTCTATCGGTGACGAGAACTGCCAGCATGAGTCCTTGATCCTGACAATAGACGTTCCATGTCCCTCATACGCCTGTCAGCTCTTGCTTGTTGAGCTCGAAGTTCCCTAACTTCAGCTTGAGTTTCAGCAAGTTCCCTCTGTAGAGCTA